TGGTTGTGCAGGTCGGATAACCCTACGCCCAACCTTACTGTCAGGTGTTGAAATACCTTTTCTGGTGGTGTGGTGTTTCGGCAAAAGAAGTGCAGAGTTTGTTTGGTCCAGTCCGAGGTGGAATTATTCAAGTTACGTACGTAGGTTTGTTGATGTTTTATGTTTAATGTTTTCTATGCTTTGTTGTATTGGTTTCTGCGGTTGGTTTCGTGTGTTGTCGGGTTCATTATTGCGACCCATTTTTTTATATCTTTATGATGATTTGTTGTTGTATTTTGTTGTGTTGTTTATTGTGTTTCGTCGGAATGGTCGAGCAGATGGTTCGATATGATTGTGTTGTTTCGTTTGTGTTGATTTTTTTACAGAAACATTTTGGGTCACCATAACGTATAACATGACGTTGGTACGTCCATTATGTACATGTGTAGCGTGCTACACATTTGTGGTATGTTAAGTTTTCTTTTTTGTGTGCGATAATGTTACAAGGTATCACAACACACTGGATGTTATTGTTTTGGCCCATCATCTGTCTGTGTCACATGAGTATTCTGGTAATGTTGGTGTAATTGTAATGAGTGTGGTTAATTTGAATTCTTATTTGTATGGGTTTAACATGTCCATTTTTATTTGTATAAGTGTTCTCGTAATGCTAGTGTAATTATAATGGGTGTGGTTAATTTCAATTCTTATTTCACATTTGGAGTTTTAGTATGTTATGTCGATTGGAGTGTTACGTTTGAAAAAAGTAAACTAAAGAGTTTTTTTTTTGTATTTTTTGTGTATTACATTTGAGTGTTACGTTTAGAAAAAATACACTAAATAGTTTTTTTCGTGTGTTACATTGGGGTGTTACGTTATTGTTTGTAATAAGAGATTTGTTCCAAAAGAAGGAAAAACCCTAAATGTGTAATTTCACATTTGGAGAAATCCACTTTGTTCCTAAAACATTAAATTTAAACATGTAAGTAACTATCATTTTATGTAATTTCTACTCTAATAAGATATTTGGGTTCATAAGAAAAAATGAAAGACTAAACAGTTCATATGATCATATTTTGAGGTTTATTGGTGTTTCACCCAAAAAATTATCTTAAACGTATTAATTTTTTGGATAAATTACAAATACACCCCTTGAGGTTTTATTAAAATACGAATCACCCCCTGTGATTTTAAAAATTACATTTCACCCCTTAAAGTTTTTAATTTCATAACAAATTGCCCCTTTTATTAATAAATCATTAAGTCAATTAACAATTTTTAATGATGTTAAAAATATGTTTCAATTATAATTTAGGTAATTTTATTATTGTATAAGAGAGCAATTATGAATTTTATTTTTTCAGTTAATTCTGTTACATAAAAAATCTAATAAGGGGGTAGTTGTAATTTTTCAAACCACATGAGTTAATCTGTATTATAAGTAAATCTCAGGAGGTGTATTTGTAGTTTATCTTAATTTTTTTTCATTTCATAAAAAAAAATCAACAAATTAAAAAGACACTAAGGCCAAGTTTGGGGTATGTAAAAAAAGTCAAAAAGTCAAAAAGTTACTCAAAAAATTAAAAAGTTAACACTATTCACCAAAAGTCAACAATTACGGCTGCATAATTCCCAATCTTAATTTTCCTCTATAAACCAATTTTTACAATTTTTTATTACACATTTTTTCATGAAAAGTCAAAAAATTAACCCAAACATCTATATTTTTTTCCTCAACTTTTTAGTCCAAAAAAATAAAAAGTATACTTACTTAGGACATCTCAAACAGCCCCTAAAAAAGCCAAGCGCTATTGATTTCAAGTTTGCATCCAATCTTCTAATTCAAATAAGTTGACATTGGGAAGGTTTTTCAATAGGAGTTTTCCTAATCAACGCATGTTTCCAAACAACATCATTTAAGTCATCTTTCAATCTTCTTTTCAAACAATTCAAATTTTATAATATATGTTTATTTTGAAGAGTCTCTTGATGATCATGACAATAGTCTATAAACACTCTGTTCCATATCAGTATCTTTGTTAGTATCTATCTGCTTCATTAATAGTAGTTCTAAATAAAAAATAAAACAATTCGAAGGGTCAAACTTTTTGAAAAATTCAACATTCATTTGTCTAATTTCTTTTTAACTTTACTACTATTTTGTCATTAGCCTCAGTTCTAGATTGCTTCTTATATTTTCTATTTTCGATATAGCCTTTTTTTTTTTTTTAAATGTATTTCATTTACTAACCACCCATTTGGATTGAGGAATTTATTAACAAAAAATAAAAATGAAGAGAAATAAAATTCTTATCATTTTTAGATGATTAGTAAGTGTTAAGTACAATGTGTTAACTTATTGCCATTGTGTATTTTTTTGGAGTCAATCTACACATTATTATTATTATTGTTATTATTATTTCTGGAACAATTTTTAATGAAATTTGCTTTTTTATGGCATTGTCTAAGTTTTTTCTTTGTCAAAGCAAGATTTTAATGTCAAATGTACATGCATGTTCAAAACCTTTTTAAAATTCTTGTCTATAACCCACCTTCAGTACCTCCCTAAAAGATCACTTATGTTTGTTTTCACCCTCAAATCTATATGTGAAATTGAGTTTTAGCTTTTCAAAAGCTATTCCATCTTGGAAGTCTAAACTAAATCTATATGCCCCTTGCCAATTCCTTATCAATATCAAGGCTTTTTATAATTAAAAAGCAAATAATAAGTCTCCACAAATAGAACAAAATTACAAAAAAAATAAAAATAAATAAAGAATGTACATATCACAGTGAGATCCATCTATAAGCACTTTTTGTGATTAATTATGTGTACTTAAATTAACTCAAAAGCAAAACAAGTTGATTCAACATGTTTTAAAGAAGAGAAGAAGGGGGGAAAAAAAAAAAGGTAAGATGTTCCTACTCCACTTTACATCACTCACATTTTATTTTTTGTCTTTTAACCTCTCATTAAAGATAAAAAAAAAAAAAAAAAAAACGAGAAAAAAAATTAGAACTTAGCAATTGATGATGTGGGAGTGTAATGAGATGGTTGACCAGTCAATTATGTATGGAGTGACTAAACTACCCTTTCTGGAACATGAACCATAATACGTGAATGCTTGCTTTTTCATGATTCCTGGGACTGGGATAGAAATGAAAAGGTTTGTCATGCTATCAGAGAGAGAGAGAGAGAGAGAGAGATATGTTGTACTCTGCAATGTAGATGCATGCAAGTAATTAAAGATGCACTTTAGAGAATGAATGAATGAAGAGATATTTCATATTCTGCTTTTGTTAAAGTTGGGATTGCTGACTGCAACTAGAGTAATGAGTAGAGGGTGGGTGGCCTCTTTTTGTTGGAAGCCATGCCATTTGCTTTGAGGGCTTTCTTTTTTGAATTTTCACTTTTTTGTGTGATGTCAATTCATCAATACAAGATTTTATCAATGTAATGGCTATTTTTGTGTATTGTTATAATATCACTCTTGAATTTATTTACATTGACGTGGTAGAAGTTGAGTCTTAATTGGCTAATTTCTAAACAAAACAATTGACATGCAACAATCCACGTTATTAGATTAATTTAGGAACGATATTTTAGAGATTTTAACTATTTTTAATTTTGAAAATGGAAGCTGAGTGAGTATTTCAGCTGAATTACAAAGCAATGAGCATGAGGAATGATAAGCCATTTTACTTATTTTATTTTGTACACTGGAGATCAGAGAGATGGAGAGAAACTCTTGTCGGTGTCAAGTTATTTGAATTTGACTTGTATTTAACTTGTTAAAGCTCATTTGAGATCGAAATAGGAGTGGTTTGGGATTTACTTATTTAGTGATTTTTTGATTTTTATAAAAAAAAAATATGTATAAAAAAATAGAGATGTGATATGACAACTTATAACAAATAAGCAAATGAACTCCTTGTACATTCAGTTTTAGTTGGGTTAAAATGCAAAAAGTTTTCAAATTTTAACCTCTATTGGCAATACCAAGAGTTACTTCTCATATGTCAGTGGAAAATACTAGCCTTAGAATTGATGGATTTACCTTGGATTCTCATACTGGCTCATGTGGGTAAGGTCATGTTACAATCAGTGAGATATATATGGTCTCAAGTCTGTCCTCAAATAAAAACACAAAAACAATAATAAAAAAACAAAAAACCAAAAAAAAGTCTGTCTTGAAATAAAAAAGGTGAGAAGGGAAGGGAGTGACCAAAACTTTTGAGAAAACTTACAAAATTAAGTAACCAGGAAGTACTGTTTAGCTTGCTGATCTCCTGTGGACTTTTGGGCAGTGGGCTTTAGCTGGGCCGGTGGGCCAGAAAGAGAGAGAGAGAGAGAGAGAGAAGAGAGAGGGAGAGGAGACCAAGTCCTCAGTCCAAGGATGCAACACGTGCAGATAGATGATGTTTCTTAAAACAAAGGAAACTTGAACTAGAGAGCTTGAATGAAATGAAGTTTTTCATAAGCACCTTGTCTCTTTGTGCATGTTAGGAATAATAATTAACGAAGTCCTTCTAAAGAAATCATTATGGTAGAAGAGTGAATTGAAATGAAAGCATGTGGCATCAGTGACTAATATTGCAGAATTCCTTTTTCTTGTGATCTAACCTCTTAACTATCATGAATATTTGATTATTGGAATACATTCTGTCTTGTCTTTTTTGTTTTTTTAGTTGGTCAGAGCGGGGTTGGGACAGGGAATCCCAGGGCCAGACCTCCGGCTAATGGGCTGACTGGCCCAAAGGGTTTGGTACTTTTCCACTGCACTACTGGCCTTTGCCTGAATACATAGATGAAATGTTCAATGACTTTGCCCAGATTACTGAGATGAGATGTCAAAAATATAGAGTTGAATGTTGAAAAGGCTATGTGCAGCCGATCCCAAACAATTGGGAGTTTGAAATTTTTTTTCTAGCTTCTAAAATGTCTGACTACACACCTAACTGTTCATATTTAGAGCAGTTATGAAGCCTCATTCTTTGAATGTTTTCATAAACATGCTGAATTAACGGACTAACCAAGCTAACAAAGAACAATTACTTGAAGAACATTGTGCATAATGCTGTAGATTAAATGAACTCAAATCCTAAAAATCATCCAGCATGTCAGGGCATTGTAGAATTACAAAATGATATCTTGGACTGAACCCAAATGCTGCAGGGCACAATCAAAGCTACAAAACATTGTCTTGCAACATTTTAGGCAGTTCTGCTACATTGGCGACAAAATGCCAGATTCGAAGTCATGCTGATGAAAAACTAAATGTTGTTTTGAGTGAACTCCTTGTCATGCTCATGGCTTGTACGACGCCTCTGCCTTAGTCTCCCAGCAACACTATCTGGGGCTGGTTCAAGGGTACGTGGAGGCTTCCCTTTGGACTTTGGGCTGCTTTCCTCTACAACATTGTTATCACGTTGTTTATCATCTGTTTTGTTGTCTTCAGATTTAGCCTCTGATAATGCTTCATGGTAATCACTGGACTCAGAGTTTTGTGCACGTTTGTTTGTTTTTTGGCTACTTGCCAATGCAATATCACTAGCACCATGCTTGTTCTCCGAAAAATTTGTTTCCTCACATTTCTCACCTTTAGACTCATTGTCTGTCTTGTTGCCTTCATGTTTAGGGGTTACTAATCCATGATGGTCATTGTTGGACATAGGACATTCCTTCCCCTCTGACGTTGCTTCCATATCTGAAAAGGGCAGTGATCTTTTTGCAGAAGCCGGACTGTTAGTACTGGGATTTTTATCTGAATCCGTCTGTGAACGTTGGGTTTGGATGAGGTAATGTGCAACCGACTTGAAGCCCAATTGAGAAATCTGGAAATGGATAGATTCAGCTTAGTTAGCTCCAATTGCAACTAGGAAAATATGCAAAAATCCTGTTAGATTGATGGCCAAACTTACCTTCCTATAAAGAGTGCCAGTTGGAGGCCATCCTTTTGCTTGCCGGCACAAACTGCAGTTGCAAATTCCCCGACAGACGGGGCAAATCCAGTTTGGGTTCTGTTTTGCTTCAAGCACATGCTCCCCATATCTGCAGAAAAAAACAATTTAGGATAATCAAACTACAAAATTTATAAATTTTAACCAGGTTTTGTGTTATGGCATCACATAGTAATATTATGCTAAATGATCCCTTCATCTAAAGGCCAAGCATTTTGCAAACCTTAATGCTATAATAGCTCAAGGAATTTTTTTTTATTGAGATCAATGATACGGAGTTTGAAGTCATTCTCACAATACATACCTCATATACAAACAATCTCCGCAAAACTGTCCTTGGACCATGTCACATTTGCTGCAATGTGTACGATGACCAAGGGTTTTCTGCCTGCAAAACAACATGGCCATTCATTGACGAGAAAGCTATGCAACCAGATGATTCAGCAAAAGAGTGACCCAAAAATTATTAAAAGAAAAAATTAAATACAGAAGGAAAGGGACTCAGTTTTGTTTCTTTGAATTTTAACTCTAAATATCAAAATGTATATTAAATGAGAAGAGAATAACAGAATGACAATTACCAAGGCACCTAGCCCAAATGAATTTGACCTTAAAACACTAACCTAATACTTTCATCCGACATTCAACTTGTAAGGCAAATAATTGCTCATAATCAATTCAGAGACATCAAAATGGGGAATCTAGAGTGTAATAAAAGAATGAATTTGAAGTCTGATCAAATTTACCAGTGATAATAACTCTATTATCCACCAAAGATGACACGAACATGGTAAAGAAAGGTCCTTTAATTTTTACATGATACATACATAACTATAGGAAAGAAAGGTAACTTTTTTCTTCCCCCTTCTCTCTAACTATCTCTTACGTAATTGCGGAGAAAAACCAGACCTGCATTGATGACAAGTTTTTCCTTTGATTGGATCATAAATTCTCTTCCCATCCTGTCCGTAACCATCCACGAAAAGAGTCCAACTCATCTCGGTGTTACCCAACAGCTTTTCATGTTCATCTGTGTAAACCTCGGGCTTCAAACCCCCTCTTATTAAATCATGCTCGCCTTCCAAAAATGTATCCTTTTTCGAGAGTATCACTTCAGAGTAGGCAACTGGAGTCACATTCTGCAACCTAAATTCATACCAAAATTTGAGAGGGGGTTGGAGAATAATACAAAACTCCATCAATTCATATAAACCATATTACAACTAAAAAAAAAAAAAATCCAATTCTTAGTCCAAAATACAAAAAGCCCAATGAGTACTATGAACTAAAAACATCATAATACTTGTCAAAAATCTCAACTACCTTACAAAAACATTATAGGGTAGAAACCCATTAATCATTAAGAACTAGAAACCCACTAAGATAACTATCTAAAACCAATTTTGACCCAATTAATACTATGAACCAAAAACACCTGAATACTTGTCAAGATCCTAAAAATCTCATCCAGCCTTACAAAAACATATAAACAGAACAACATCAATCTCATCCTTGAAACACGCATTTCTTCGGACAAGAAAAGAAAGAAAGAAAAAAATTAAGCATCAAGGACTAGAGATACATCTAATAACTATCAAAAAGCCCACCAAAACCAAAAGCAGTAAACAGCATACAGAAAACAATAAACCCATGAAACAACTTAACACCTATAAATATCCTATGAGATGAGAGAGAACCTGGAGGAGCGGCGAAGGGGTCCACCAGGAGTTGTCAAAGGAGAAGGACAAGGAGGGGATTTGCGATTGGAGAAGTTGTTCTTGCGGATGGGTTTGAGGGACTTGAGTTTGAGGGAAATGTCCATGATACCAAGCTTTTGCATTCTCTGGAGGTTCTCTTTGATCCTCTCTTCTCTGCACTGTTCGTACCCAGAAACCTTCTGGGTTTCCTTGATTTGGGTTCGGCCATCTTCGTTGATTTGGTGGTTGCTAGGGTTTGCAGGGGTTTCTAGGGTTTGATCTCTGCTTCTCAGTGTCACCATTGCAACTCTCTCTCTCTCTCTCTCTCTCTCCACAACGGTCGAGTGTGGAATGTTGGACTCCAGCAAGGATTTTTTTTCTTGTGATTTGTAACGGCGTGAAGGGGGCTCGAAGCGAGGGAAATTCAAGTTGGGCTTTGTTCGAATGACGGTAGTGGCCCAATATGTGATATATTTATTAAAATATTTAATTTGACGTTCAAAACGATAAAGGTCGTATTTTAAAATAATAGTTATCAATAATGCTCTATGTATTAATTAATATATTAATTAGTATATTAATTAATTATGTGATATAATTTTAAAAATTTAAAATATTTATAATTTATATAAAGGGTGGGGTTAATAATAATATCATAAGGTATGTTAGTACACTAGTTGGTATACCAACTGGTATATGTAGTACCACCGTTTTAAAATTGGCACTAACTTCCCTCCAGTTTCAGATCAGACTAGAGAGTACTATTGGATCCGTGGAAGTTTATCACGGGTCTTGTTTTAATAATCCGAACCGTTCAATGTGTTGAACTCGTTAATTACTATGTCTGTAAAAAAACCACGTTGATCGGATATCAATAGCTATCTCATCAGATCAATTTTCTGTCAACCATTTATTTTTTCACCATCTCATTTTTTTTTTATACAAAACTGATTTGATCACGTAACTATCGATATCCGATTAATATGATTTTTTACAAGCATATAATGCTCGACGAGTTTTACATATTAACGATTTGAATTATCAAAATGGGTTCCGTGATAGGCCCCTATAGGCCCAACAACACCCTCTAAGCCAGGCCCTTTAAAATTATAAATGCTATGGGTCTATTTGGTAACACTTACATTTTCAGTTTATATTTATAAAAAATTTATAAACTAGTTTTTGTTTATTTTTTGTTTATTTTTAGAAAAACATAAACTACAAACGCGTTTGGTTTAAACAAAATATTTAAAAAAATTTAAAAATATAAAAAAGAGTAAGAAATGACAAGTGGTGGCAGGTAGTGGGTGGTGACGAGTGGTGGCGGCGGAAGACGGTGGTAGAAAATGATGGCGGGTGGGGGTGGCGGAAGACGATGGTGGAAAATAGTCACAGGTGGTAGGTGATGGTGGCAGAAGACGGTGGTGAAAAATTGTGGCAAGTGGGAGGTGGGTGGGTGAGTGGTGGTAACAGAAGACAGTGGTAGAAAGTAGTGGCAAATGGCGGGTGGTTGTGGTGGTGGCGGCGGCAGAAGACGGTGGTGGGAAGCAGTGACAGATGGGTAGATGGTGGTGGCAGGTGAGTGGTGGATGGCGACGAGTGGGTGGTGGTGGCGAGTGGGTAGCGGGTGGTGACGAGTGGTTGGTGGTGGCGGGTGGCGGATGGTGGTGGCGGGTGGGTAGTAGGTGATGGCGGTGGTGGTGGTGGTTGGTGGGTGGTGGCTGGTGATGGCCGGCAAGTGGCTGGGGGCTGGGGGGGGCAGGGGGGGGGTATTTTTTGCATAACTTTTTTAAACTCTAAGAGCATCCTCATAAAATTAGTTAATTTTTATTATATTTTAGTTTAAATGTTAGCTTTTTTTCTATTTTGACGGGTGGTGGTGGTGGTGGGTGGTGGTGGCGGGTGGATGGCAGGTGGCTGGTGGTGACGAGTAGATGGTAGGTGGCTGGTGGTGGCTGGTGGACGAGTGGTGGCTGGTGGTGGTAAGTGGGTGGTGACTCGTGGTGGTAGGTAGTGGTGGGTAGTAGGTGGTGAGTGGTGGTGGTGGTAAGTGGGTGGTGACTCGTGGTGGTAGGTAGTGGTGGGTAGTAGGTGGTGAGTGGTGGTGGTGGTAAGTGGGTGGTGACTCGTGGTGGTAGGTAGTGGTGGGTAGTAGGTGGTGAGTGGTGGTGGTGGTAAGTGGGTGGTGACTCGTGGTGGTAGGTAGTGGTGGGGAGTAGGTGGTGAGTGGTGGTGGCGGAAGATGGTGGTGGAAAATGGTGGCAGGTGGTGGCAACTGTTGGGTGATAAAAAAAAAAAAAAACTCAAAACTCAAAACGTAAACTTATTTTTTGAGTTTACATTTTTTTGTCAAATTTATAAACTGAGACCACTGATTTATAAATCAAAAATTTACCAAACAAGTTTTTATTTGAGTTTTTAAAATTTTTGTAAATATAAACTGAAAACGTAAGTGTTACCAAACGGCACCTATGCATTTTAGAGAAGAAGGGTAAATTACACCGGTGGTGCTATATGCACCTATTGATATATTAACTAGTATATCAACATGTCTTATGACACTATTACTGATCCCACCCATTATATAAATTATAAATATCCAAAATCTATCAAATTATATCATAGTATTAGTATACTAATGGGTAGACCAATTAGTGTATGTAGCATTATTCAAATTATATTCACACTCCTTAATATTTGTTTTTAATATAACAAAACTGTTTGGTACCTCTAAAATAAGAGCTCTAAAGGAGCTCTATGTGGCATTACCTCGTGTATAATTATTGTTACTTTCTATTAGTACTTTTCATCTTCTTTTGACTTGCCAACTCACTAAAGCTTTATTTAGAATTCTTGAATTAGAGTTATGCATCATTGCTCTTAATATAAATATTTTCTTTACGTTTTTAAAATTATGTATTTTTTTTCTAAGGTTTAAACTTTCATTACAATTTAATCATTTCATAAATCAATTATAAAGTCAACTAACGAAGAAAATTAATATAATAAATTATTTTTTTTAAATATCTATTTTACTCTTATTAAAATAAAATTTGTTTTAAAAAAAAATTACTAGATGAGTAAAGAAAATTGGTAAGGAATTACAAAAATTCGATTTATATTAATACATATATTATTATACTATTAAATATTTAGGTAATACTATGATACACAAGTCTTTGTAGTGTTATCACAAATATTATAATTAGATCACTTTCAATCATAATTAAAAAAATTGTTATAATTAAAGCTTGCATAAGGCATAACTAAATACCTTTTGAATCATAACTAAAATAATATTATAATCAATAATTATAACTAATACCATAATAGGTCATAATTAAAAATCACAACTAGGGCATAAAATTTTCTTAAACGGCAAATTGTTTGTTAAACAAGTATAAAATAGCCATTTTAAAAATTAAATTCTTACATTAGTTTTTTTTTTGTTAATTGACTTAATGGTTGATTAACGGAAGGATTAAATTGTAATGAAAGTTTAAATCTTATGGAGCAAAATGTAAATTTTAGAATGTGAAGACGGTAACTTGTATTAAAGACTAACCTTAAGGTGTGTCAATGTAATTTACCCTAAAAAGAATATTTGAAATTTGGATTATGAATATTTTTTTCAAATAAATAATAATTGTATTTTTAAAAAAACTTCACTAATGAAGTTAGTCTATGGTTTCATTTGGCTAAGTTGGTTGAAACTAAAAAAAAAGCATAAAACATAGAAGGGGTACTTTTTCATAAATCTCTTTTTATCTGCTTATATTTCATATAGTTCATATTATTTTTTTTAAATTCTAATAAATCTTATGGGTGATATAGTTACTAAATATCTCTAATAACATTCACATTTACAGTGTAAATGTTCCGTGATGTGAATATACACATCGTCAATATAGATGTGAATCACATTGTAAAATATGAATATTCACATTACCAAATTGCTAACCATTAAAAAAATATTTATAAGTGTAGAAATGTTCATGAAATACCTTAAATCTGATAATTATGATTTGGTGGAACAAATATTCAAATAATAGGACTTATTGGAATATAAGAATAACTTATAGACTAATTGGGATAAAAACACTTGAAAAATTTTCTTTTAATAAATTTCTCAAAATAAAATAAATTAAATAAATTAATAAAATAAAATATCATATTCAAGATATATTTTTTTTTTTGTCTCATAAAAATAAAAAAAATAAAAAATTTACCAAACAAACTTTTAACTCCAAACTAAAAAAAATCCTAACTCTAAAAAGGCAATTATATATATATATATATATTTTAAACCAAACGGCAAGTATTTAATAAATACAAATGGAAGAATATAATAATAAAACATTGTTAATGGTTTGCCCAAAGTCAGTTCGGTTTGATTTGAATTGAACCAACCATACCTCATTGTTGGACCCAGCATATCAGGTTGACCATTATAAATCAATTTCAACAGTATGCATTATTCGCTCAAAAAAACATTTTGCCTTATTTAAAATCAACAATGATTCATCCTCCCTTTTTCCCCATCCCCTTTGACCCCCTCTCTTTCTCATTGGTTATCTTTTCTTTTTCTTTTTCTTTTTTTTCCTGCTCCTCCAATCACCACCGGCCACGTGACAAAGGGATGAGGGGTGACCCCAAAAGGGGGTCCCAAGCATTATTCATTAAAAATTCACCGTTAAACCGCTCAAGCAAGTTGATTTGACGGCCTAGTTGAACAGTTGGGCTAATATGATTTTGGAGAAATTACACTCACGCTCCTTGAAATTTAAATTTAATACATATTATTTCTTAACATTTAGAAAATTACACTAATTCTCTATTATTATAATTATTTAGATAGGATGAAGACATTGAACTTATACATTCTTTCTTTTTTTTGCTTTGCTTTATTTTCTCTTTTTTTTTGCCTTTCCTTTACTTTTTTTTTAATGTAATTTTATCTATTTTTTTACTAGGAGTTGTTACCTTTTATATAAGTAGGGAGTTTGTGAAATGAAATTATTAACCACAGGAGTAGGAAAGTAATTTCCAAAACGTTAAGGAATAGGTAGTAATTGAACCAAATCTCAAAAGATGCCAATGTAATTTACTTGATAGTTTTTTAGCCTACACAAGTATTTTTTTATTTATTAATTACATGAATCAGTCCATTTTTACTAAAATATCAATTCAGGTACAATTTAGGTTAACAACACAGTTTTTTTAGGCCTCTTTGATTTTGGGCCTATACAATTCAGTTTTTTTTCTCATTAATAACAACCCATTTCAAATTTTGCAAATTATATAGTCCAAAATGAAGTTGCCACATCAATTTAAAACCTAAATAATTAATTATTACAAAGTGGTAGAAAAATTTATAACTTTAATTATTAAAGTTGATAAGCTTTATCACTTTTTTATATTTGTTTTGAAACCATACACGGAGGTGTAATTTTTCAAAAAAAAGATAAAAATTGTTGAAAGTGTTAAAATTGATGTATAGATTACAAGATTGATTGTATTGATGTTATTACAAGATTGTTATATATTCTGTATTACAAATGAGAGGTTCCTTATATAGATGTAGGTGTAGGGAGTAGGTGGTGGTAGGTGAGTGTAGTAGGTGAGTGTAGTAGGTGAGTGTGTGGTAGGTGATGGTAAGTGTGTGGTAGGTGATGGTAAATTATACAATGTACATTAACAGCCCCCCTCAAACTCAAGGAGGATAGGTACGAGCCAACTTGAGTTTGGAGAGAGTAACAAAACAGAAAAAAAAAATAAACTGATAAATAAAATAAAACAGGATAGGAGACACGGTATGATTTCAACTCCTAAACCAAACAACTAAAGAATTTACTAGAAACACTCTAAATTGAGAAGCTTTAAATGCATGAATCATAGGCCTCGTTTGGGAAATTAGTTATTTTATTAGGTTATTTTTAATTTTTAACTATTTTAATAAGTTAAAATATTTGTATTTGCAAAGAGAGTTAGATTTTTTTTTTTTTTATAATTGGATGTGATAGTTGTAAGAGAAAAAGTGAAATGATTATGAATTTGATGTGATATTTTATTTTATAAACTATTTTAGACTATTTTACTTTTTTTTGGATGTTAACCAAAAATAAAATAAAATAAAAAAACATAAAATTGGCTTCCCAAACACTCCCATAATAATATATTTAAATCAAAAGCCACCGATCATCTATGACGTCTCGTGGATGACTTGTTTGGATCAAAACCGTTAACTCCCAAATCCATTGCACGTTGAGGACAACGCACAGAGATGTTGATGAACTACCTCTTGAAATTCACCAGCACCGTCTAACTCTTTCTTCACATAATGCATTACGTCAAACCAAATTCAATTCCACCATAAACAAGCCACCCTAGCTAGTTTCTAGCACCACCTTCTCTTCTTAGCCACTCTCGAGATGAAGATATATAAATATATACGTGTCACTGAGGTACAACTATTAGAAGAGACTCTCAATCAGCCATGGCTATGGAGGCTTTTGCATTTTTCTTTTTCATCATCATCAATTTCAGCTTGTTTGGAAATGGTGATGATAGTAATGGTTTAGGTTTAGGTGCTTCATTTTTATTTGGAGATTCTTTGGTTGATGCTGGGAATAACAATTATCTACCAACTTTGTCAAAAGCTAATATCCCACCAAATGGGATTGATTTTCAGCCTTCTGGTGGTAATCCCACCGGTCGGTTCACCAACGGGAGAACCATCGGAGACATTATTGGTAAGATCATCTCTCTCTCTCATGCACGGATGTTCGAAAAATTTTACAGAAATAAATCATATTTCTGTGATTTATTGTTGTGTTAGTATCAAAATTGTCCATTTTTTTTTAGTTTTAATTTTGGGTGGTTTTTTTTGGTCAGGAGAGGAACTGGGACAACCACACTATGCAGTGCCATTTCTGGCTCCAAATGCCACAGGAAATGCTATATTATATGGGGTGAATTATGCATCTGGCGGCTCTGGGATTATGAATGCCACTGGTAGAATATTTGTAAGTGCTCATTTACCCTTCATTTATCATTCAATTTGTTTAAATTTATTTGCTTTAAAATGTTATGTTTATTTATTTATTTTTTAATCTAATTTGGAAAGAATACTTTGGTAACCCCTTTAGTCGTGTCAAAATTCTTTTGGACCCAATCACAGACTCCACAATGATGATTTGATTTGTTGGTTTTGTAAAGTATTCTAAGGAGATTATTCATGTCTAATTTTTTTTTTGATTGGACAGCGTTAATGATTAAATCAAATTTATTTTCAAAAGAATGGATGATAAGTAGAATTTTAATAATAAATAATCTATTTTTTTTAAAAGATAAATGTGAATCGATCACATAGGTATGATTTTCCAATTAAGTGAATTTTTTATATGAATAATTTGCTTGGAGAATATGAACGATTCGAATTATTAAGATAGAACTATGGTAAGGCTCATGAAAACCAATAGCACCCTCCAATATCATCCAATTCTCAGTTCTAATATTTGGTTAGGGATGAGGGATTAGTTTCATCACTAAAAATGGGCTCATTTTTCCTATACAAATTATTTTAAAATTATTAAATGAATGATACATGGGTTTTGCAGGTAAATAGGCTATCACTGGACATCCAGGTTGATTATTTCAACATTACTAGAAAACAGATCGACCAATTGTTGGGTGCATCGCAGGCAAGAGACTATGTTATGAACAAATCCCTTTTCTCAGTGACAATTGGATCAAACGATTTCCTTAACAATTATCTACTACCAGTCCTCTCAATTGGGGCTAGGGTTTCCGAAAGCCCAGATGCTTTCGTCGACGATCTCATCAACCATCTCAGAGGCCAACTTACGGTACATATACATAGATACATACGCAACCAAAATTACTCACTATGCGGGGCATGTAGGTGTAAAATGGGTCATGTTGAGCCGGCCCAGCCCATTTATTTTTCGTGCCAGCCATGCCCGGCTCTGCCCATTGTTTTTTATCCGTGCCGCATTGTGCTAGCCTGACTAAGCTAGACCTTAGGGCCCAACCCGCCCATTGGCATGACACAATTTGTATCATGCTCAATTATGTCTCGTGTCATGTTATGCCTAATTGCGTCACTTGTGGGTCTGTGGATCCAATTATTTATTTTAAAGAATTTAATTTGAAGTAAAGAAAATACAAATTTATAAAGATTATAATTTGAAATATAACAAAAATAATTTTAATTGAATTTGACGTACAATGGAATGGCATAATAAGAGTTGCATCACAAAAGTTTGGATTCACACACACTCAATTATTAATTTTCTACATTTCCCAAGCCTTATTAAAGGAAGAAAAAAAAAACATAAATACATTTTTTCCACTAATTATTGGACATTAGACTAATTGGACACATGAGTTTGAAAAATATTCAACAATATCATTTGTAAAGTTTTGAGTGAGAGTATGTTTTTTTGTGTTCATGTCGTATTTATGTTCTTATCTATGATATAAGGCCCAAAACTTTGCCCCAACCTGACATGGATTTAGCACCAAAGTCTTATTTGGCATGCCTAGAGACGTATTGTTTTTGTTGAATACAACTTTGAATTTGTAGTGTATGTATATACCGACTCATTTTACACTTTTACTAGAGTCCGAAAAAGGTCAAATTTATATAATCTTACTCTTGCGTGCAAAGAAACTATTTCCATAATTTAAATTTGTGACTTGTGTCTAATTTTGTGACAAATTTATGATGGTAGCGGCTTTATCAACTAGATGCAAGGAGGTTCGTAGTGGCAAATGTTGGACCAATTGGATGCATTCCGTATCAGAAAACAATCAACCAGCTAAGTGAAGATGAGTGTGTGGCGTTGCCAAACCAAATGGCACTTCAGTACAACTCCCGATTGAAGGATCTAGTAACCGAGCTCAACCAAAACCTTCCTGGCGCCAAATTTGTACTTGCAAATGTGTACGATCTTGTGATGGAACTCGTTACAAACTATGCCCAGTATGGTAAGTACTTAAACTATATATGATTAAAAACAAAATTGGTATATATAGCATTTTTTGTATGTTTGTCATTGATAATGTCGAAATTGTGCAGGATTTAGCACTGCAAGTACAGCATGTTGTGGAAATGGAGGCCAGTTTGCTGGGATAATTCCATGTGGACCAACTTCCAGTTTGTGCTCGGACCGCGACAAACATGTCTTCTGGGATCCTTACCACCCTAGTCAGGCTGCCAATGTCCACATTGCCAAGCAACTGCTCGTCGGAGACCCCAAATACGTGTTTCCGATCACCCTTCAACAACTTATTGATCACTAGATTTTTAATTTTCATAGAAAGTTATATGCTTTTTTCTATTGTTATTAGTTTTTATTAAACAACAATGGATGTTATATGCTTGTTTGGTCCTTCTTTGGAGAATTTCTATTTTACTTTCTTGTCTTTCATGTTTGTAACATGTTCTTTTCTTTTCTCTAATTTTTTCCCCCTCTCTCCTCTTATTTCATTGACATAGTAGACACAAGCTTAATTGAATGTCATGGTAAAATTGAAAACAATTAGATGAAATACCTAAACAATCAAATGGTTCAATCTGGAACAGTCATACTAACTTAATTTTGTCCTTTTTGATTTTGTTTTTTATAAGTTTTTTTTATCTGTCTAATTGAACAGAACTTAAAAATATAAAGAGTTTTATAAAAAAATTATTAAGGACAAAAAAAAAAGAAGTCAACTTCAAACAATCACTAAGATAAACATGATGTAGAGTTCACTGAAAAAACACAAGAGTTACAAATAAAAATCATATAATATAACATATATTTCCTCTTGTAATACCAGCAATCACCACGAGATGAAGTTATTTGGTAATCTTATAGTCATATTATTCATTGTGTGACATTTGCTCAGCTATTTTTTTAAAAAGTAATACAAAATAATGAGACTTATTATTTTAATTAATAAAAACTAAATTAAAAGACCATGTGACTTACACTTGAATCACCATACAATTTTACTCCAAAAATGTTAAATGTTTTAATTTTTTTTTTTATCAAATATCACATATTTATATAGATCTCACGTGAATATTTGATTGAAAATTTAATTAATTAATATATATATATATATATATTTTTTATTTCCCTTGCTCATTTTACTCATCACAAAACCAAGTTCATAATTGTCAGTCACCATCACACGCAACTCATCGTGTCTCCTCCTAATACATTTGTCGCGCACATCACCACCCTGATGTGAGTGCTACCACACCGCACCGCACCGCACCTATCATCCTTTTTAGCTCCTAATTTCACCATGAACAACCAATAGGAACGAGTGGGGACAATTGTTTGGAAATTACTATTTTGACTTTTGTTTGGTTATTATTGTTAGTTTTTTACTGCAAAAACCCATTTGCCCCAACTAATTTGATCTCAAAATTGGGGCAAAATCGATATTTTCGTCGCCTCTCTCATTTTCTTTCTGCATTAAACAAATCAATTAAGGGAAAGTTTTTTAACAGTTTCGCCCCCAATTAACTCCTTAGCAGTGAAATCTTATCATTATAGATAAAAAAAAACAAAGGAATAAGAAACAAAACAAGTGTTTAGAAAGAAAAAACAAAAAAACCAAAAATCTTTTTTTATTTGTTTGTGTTTAGAAAGTTACCAAGTCCAAATTGTATAGGTTATATATTAAATTTGTGCTTTTTTAGATGTAATTTGGATTTTTTTTTTAATTTTCTATATGAGAAAACTTGAAAAAATGAAAGAAATAAATATGATATTATTATTATTATTATTATTTATGTATTTGTTTAGTTTGTCTATTTTATTTTGAGAATTTCTTTGTACTAATTATGATTCATTAGGCTCATTATAATATGTTTTGTTTGAAGTATGACTCAAAAATAAATTTACTATAACTTGAAAAAAAAAAAAATGGGACAAAAGTAAAATGGTGAAAAGTGAGATCCACACACTGATATTATGATTAAATAAGATAGTAAATATAATAATATATAAATGTAATAATTGTAGTATTATTCATATCTTGATTTGAATTTTAAGTCGAAATAATTGTGTGATGTAAATTTAAAATTAGTAAAATATGAACAATATTAATGAATAGGTAAATCCTTAGGTTGTTTTTGGTATAGTTCTGGAATTAACGTTTCACAGCTTAATTTGAACACGGCATTTGTTTACGAATTTTAAAACTTAATTCCATGCTCACTTTTAAAAACGCGATCGAAAGTGGGAAAATTTGGACTAACACCGGACGTCCTACCGGTTGTTGAGCCAGTTGATCGGAACAGTGCAATTTTTTATTATTTTTATAACTGACATGTGTTAATTTTTATATATAGTCGAAAAAAAGATTTTCCGAATTTTTAATTTTTTTTTATGTGTTTTAATAGAATTTTGAGTTATATGTTTGGTTATGAGTTGTAAGTTTTTGTATCAAATATCATATGTCATATAAAAAATTATTCACTCAATTAAAAACTCTTTTTTAAAACTCTTTTACTAAATAAATTTTACACACTCAAATTATAATTTCAAAACTCACAAACTCAAAATACAACTCCTACTCTCAAATCATATTTAGAAAGTTCTAGTAAGCGCAACCTTAATTTTTTTTTAATTTTTTTTCTGAATAAATTATTTTGAGCGTGTAAAATTGTAGTATTGAGAATGGAAAAGAGCCTTGGCTCACTCCCTCCGACTTATCAATTTGATAATAATGTGTGTTGGAATTGAGCATGGGAAGAGAATCAGAGTTGGGAGGAGAAAAGGCCAAAAGAGAAAGGGTGAAAGAAGATCAGGATATAGGAGAATACACCAGGCATGGATATACATATATACATATACTCTCTTAACTCTGTCTCTCTACTGCCATTGCAGCTTAATTGGCAGTGAAAACAGATACAGGATAGAAGGAGGAGGAGGAGGGTACGAAAAGGACGTATGAGAGAGTATCAAGTCCCAGACAGACACGAGAGACACAGATTGAGGACGGATGGCTACTAGTGATCAGAAGAAGCCGCGCGTGCCGGTCAATGACCAGACATTTGCCTCAGTTTTGACTGACAGCTGTTGCTCCCTCCCTCCCTCCTTCCCTACCCAACTTCTATCTATCAGACCAGGGGGGGAGGGGGAGGGGGGGGCGGCCTACTATTACCGACGATCTCCTGTTCCTTGATTCTTAACCATTGGATTGGACTATAATACCTGAGTTTATATTCAACGGATAATGATAGCGATGATAATCAACGGCGATCTGAGGTGTGGAGGGTGAGGGTGGTGGGTGGTGGGGTTAGCGTGCCGTGATTGATGGTGTTGGTATTGTTCTCAGAAGCGAGAAATCCGGCTAATAAACAGAGTACGGATATGGAATAGGAATCTCTTCTCTCCTCTCTCTCAAGTAACATAATAAAAGAAAAAAGTGTGAGAGAGAGAGAGTGAGTGAGAAAACGACGAATCCGAAATCAGAGGGGAAGCGACTGATGACTAAAAACAAAACAAGCAAACAATAAATCCAATAAATTGTTTCCACCATTACCACTACACTACCCCCCCCACGCTAATCCGACACTCTTCATCATTCTGTCTGTCGTACCTACAAATAACACACCACTCACTTCTCTCTCCCTCTCTCTCTTCGTCCCATCAGCTCCTTCCCTTCCTTCATTCTTTCATATTGTCCCGCTCAGGACATTCGATTTGGGAACGTTTGTCCTGTTGCATTACCATGGAAAATTTTGGAATCTAAAAAATTTTGTTTAGACACTAGCAAATTTTTTTTGGTGTGAATAAAAGATTAGTTTTAATTTGATTTAAAAAATTGAATTCAATACATTTTTTTATATGTGAGATTGACAAAAATTTTGAAATATAATTTTGTTTATACACACCCAAAATTTTTTTTGTGTAAATAAGAGATTGGTTTTAATTTGATTTAAAAATTCAATACGTTTTTTAAATATGAGATTGACAATCTAAAATTGAACAAATTTATTATGTTAGCAAATTTATTTTTTTTAACAAGGCTAGATGTTTATATTTTACATCCATAAATGTATCTATAATGATATGACAAAGGTGATGAATTTTATATAATTGATTATATAACCAATTAAAAATTGACACTCATCAAATAATATTATTATAAGTTGAATTGTGAGAAATTTTTTAAAACCTCAAACATTTTCTTTATTTTTCATACCCTTGTATGTGACAAGTTTGTATTAGAACAAATTCATTTTCTGCAAAGCAAAACATAACATCATTAAATATATATATATATATATATAAATAAAATAATCAAATGAACTTGTTTACGTCAATCTTTCATTTTGCTAACGGATGATTGAGGATAATAGCATGTTCATGGACCCAATAATGTTTGTGGGGCCAATATGCCCACACGTCCCCTTCCCTCACATATTTTTGTCCTTGGTTCAAAGCCCTCCCTCACATCAGGTATAAAAATGGACCGAATTAGAAGAAGTTTATAGGGCTATGACCTCTTTATTTTTGTAAAAAATTATAGTTTTTTAAAAACATATATACCATTATATATATATAATCGCCTTTTAATATAAAAAATATATATCTCATTCTTCTCTCATATTACATTCTCTTTTAATTTTTTAACAAAAAAACATATTCATCCCATTAGAGATTATTTCTATGATATATAATTTTTGTTATGTATATATATAGTTTAAACATCATATTGTACATATATGTGTATTTGTGTATATAGTAAAAAAAATTATTGTTATTTTGATCTCTCGCATAATGAAATTCTGATTACATTCCCAAGTATCAGTGTTAGTAAAATTATTGGCGTTAATTCTACATTTTGAATAATCATCACTTCTCACATCCATCAAATGTTTTTTTAATATTAATCATTAAAATATTAATGATAATTTTGTTAGTCAACCAGGATGCAATTAGTCCATGACACTTCAAAGTGGATATAAATAGACATTTAACTATTAAATGAAAGTAATATATAGGGTTGGTTTGGGAAGTAGATTGATTTTTTGGTTCTTTAATTATTTTAGTTGGAGGTTAAAAAGTTTCGTTTAGGATAATTTTTTAGATTTTTTGAATTTTTGTGAGAGAAATAATGTAATGATTATAGGTTAGATGTAATATTTTGTCTTATTAAATTAAAAATTATATTTTATCTTTTTTATGACTAAAATAATTCCCAACCCAATCCAACCCAACCCAATGTTGCCAAACGAAGGCATAAAAGTAGATTTTAAACTAAAATATAAACTAATTTCATGAAGGGAAATGCTCTAACAAAATGATAAAATTGATTGAAAAGGGAATCCACCGATAGCCTGATGAGGCACTTGGCGATATTAAAAATAAATAAATTAAGTAGTGTTTGGTTTTGTTTTTAAGTCATGATTTGAATAAAAAAATAAAAAAATAAAAAAATATGTTTAGTTAATATGTTTTTAAAACATAACTCAAAATTATTTTTTCTCTTTCCTTTCTCTTTTTCTTGTTTTTTTGTTTTATTGTTAATAAATCAATCCATCACTTTTTTTCTCTCCTCTCTCCTCTCTCCTCTCTCATTCTATACATCAATCAATCAAAAAAAAAATAAAAAAATACAAATCATTCAAATGTTATTTTCAAAACTCATAATAAAACATATTTTTAACTTTTCAAAATTCATTTCAATAACTTATCTTTCAAAATATAATTTGGGTTGGTTTGGCAAAGGCTCATTGGGCTTTTTTGGCTCAATGAGCCATAAAAGACAGAATAAGCTCATGAGCCACAACAGACAAACATCACATCCAATCCCATAATCATTATACTCTTCTCTCACAAAAAAATCAAAAAAGCCAAAAAGTCAAAAGTCCTTCCCAAACTAAGCTTTTGAGCCCAGGCTCATATAGTCAAAAAAGTCAAAAAGCCAAAAAGCCAACCCACTTCTCACACGGAGGCTTTAAAACTCAAAACTTATTTTAAAAACTAAACCAAAAGAACATAAACTTTCCCCCAATTTTGGCTAGAATTGCTTGAGGCAAGAACTCATTTCATGTACAGTTTGGAGGTTGAGCCTGACTTGAGTAATATAACCGTGGCAGTGGCTGTTCTTATTGATCAAATTACATTGGTGTCTAACGATAAAAAATAAAAAATAAAATTTCCTAATTGTATTATAGCATTATTCAATATTAAATTATGAAATTAATTTAAATACAAGAAAACACATTGTTAGGAAAAGAAAAAAAATGCTAAATTAAAAGAAAAGGCAAATGAAGAGCCCCCAATTAGGAGCCGACCCAAACATAGCTTCTGTTGGAGCCGACTGAAAATGTCGCGAACAACAGAAAACACTGCTAAAGCTGTTCACTCTTGCATATAAGCCTCAGAACCCAGAACCTGTCTCTCTCTCTCTCTCTCTCCACCCATAAAACCCCACCTCTATGCCTCCCAAAAGCAGCCAAACATCTCCATTCTAATTTTCCACCACCTCCATAAACTCCATCCCCCCCTCCTACCACCACTAACCTTTTCCCAAATCTTCACTACTTCACTCCCTCTGAACAGAAACAGAACTGTACAAACAACAACAAAATGCCATCAGATTCTGGTGAGAGAAGACCCACAAGACCACAGCAAGTGGGTGCGCCACCGCCGGAGCCGGAGCACCTCCCCTGCCCTCGCTGCGACTCCACCAACACCAAGTTCTGCTACTACAACAACTACAACTTTTCTCAGCCCCGCCACTTCTGCAAGTCCTGCCGCCGCTACTGGACCCACGGCGGCACCCTCCGCGACATCCCCGTCGGCGGCGGTAGCCGCAAGAACGCCAAACGCTCCCGCCCAACGACCACCACCTCCTCCGCCGCAGCTCAGGACTACCACCACCACCACCACATATCGGTTCCCACCGCCACACCAGTTTTGTTCGGCCTCTCCTCCGCAGCCGCAGAGCACGGCCTGTCCGTACCGTTTGTGGGTGACGTGAAGCCGGGTCTGAACGGTTGCGGAAGTTTTACTTCCTTGTTGAGCACTCAGGCACCTGGGTTCTTGGCGCTGGGTGGGTTTGGGCTTGGTCTTGGGTCTGGGTTTGAGGAAATGGGATTTGGGCTTGGAAGAGCTGTTTGGCCCATTTCTTCGGTTGGGGATGGTGGTGCTGGTGGCGCTGCTGGTGGTGCAAATATGATTGGGAGTACGTGGCAGCTTGAGAGTGGTGAAGGTGGGTTTATTACTGGTGAGGATTGCTTTTCGTTGCCGGATCTTGCTATTTCCACACCAGGGAATGGTCTTAAATGAGGTGTTTGTTTTGTATTGGTAACTCCCTTTTTGTTTTTAGATATGATGATGATGATGCTGATGATGATGATGATAATAGGTTTTGTTGCCTTAACAACTACATGTTAAAGAGAGTTTGATTTAGGTCTGAAATGTCAGAGGAAGCAATGGTTGTTCTTGATTGTGGACTTACCTTTTCTTATCCATGGTTTTTCATCAGTTTAATTTCGTTTGTTAGATAATTTATCAATTTTTATGTTAGCATCCATTTCACAGTCGCTCTATTACTACATCAATGCCACAATCAATGTTGGACCGAAAAGAAAATGCCACATGCAATGTGGTACAATTTCTACACAAGAAAAAGTGTTAGGTTAGACAAAATTTTCAAAATTATACGGCGGCAGTGATGTTTTGAATTATGAGCTGGGGTGATTAGACTTTCACTTGAGATAAAATATTTCAGATCCGTAATTAAATTTTTACAATTTAATTTATAATGATATTTAATTTGTTATATATTCAATTACATAGAGTTTTATTTTTTTGTCAGAGAATTACAATGTGTCAAAATCATGTCTAAATGTTTTTTTTTAACGTTTAGTAATAATATGAAATTTATTTAACAGCACAAATTTGATAAAAATAAAAAAATGTTTATACTTTCTAATTTAATTTATAAGCATTTGATGTTTGTACTTTCTAATTGTATTTGAATTTAAGATTTGATAGGGAAAAAAAAAAAAGTGATAAAAATTTAACGTATACTCCTTTGTTGTACATTGTTGGTTCATTTTCAATATTTTTGACATTCCAAAAATTCGTTTATATTTATTTTTTTTTTTCTGACTGTTTTGAATACTTTGATAATTAATTGAGATATTTTAATTTGTGTAACAAAATTTGATTATTACTTATAAAAATACATTACTTATTAACCTAATTAAAGACGACAAATCCCGAAAATGAACCAATAAGTCAAGATAAACAGAGTATTTTTTTTTTTTGCCTTTCGCCTTTATAATTCTCAAATCTTACATCTAAGCACATGGTAGAAGTAAATTTTGACATAGAACGCTGATACATACACCCAGTGGGGGTCGACCCCCAGTGAGGTGGCGACCCCCTATTTGCTGAAAACACAAAAAAAAACAGTTATTTTTTTTTTTTTTGTGTGTTTTCAGCGAATAAGGGGTCGCCACCTCACTGGGGGTCGACCCCCAGTGGAGGTAGGAAGCATTTTTGTTTTGACATAATAATGATTTTGCAAGGCCATCAGACGGGCCTTTTTCCAAATTATGATAAAATAACAACTTATTTTTCAAACTAAAGTCTAGTTTGTACAAAATTTTTAAATTAGTCTAAAACGTGGTTGTGAACCATGCTTTCACCGTTTATCTAACCCTCTCGCTGAAAATTTCTAAAATTGTAAAAGCATAGTTACAAACCACGTTTTTAAATTTATTTTTTTTTCTTTTCATAAAACGTGATTTCAAAATACGCTTTTGAGCAAAATGTGAAAACGTGTTTTCAAAACAGGTTTTCAACAAAACAAACCAAACCCAACACTCTCTTCTCTCTCTCTCTCTCTCTCTCTGTGACACACTCACACACTCACGTCCATATACAAACCACGTGTTTTCAATAACTATTTTTTTTAATTAATTTTTTTTGCCAATCCCGGAGTGACACCTCACTGGGAGTAGGAAGCATTTTTTTTAATAACTGTTTTTTTTTTTTGCCAATCCCGGAGTGACACCTCACTGGGGGTGGACCCCCAGTGGGGGTAGGAAGCATTTTTGTTTTGACATAATAATGATTTTGCAAGGCCATCAGACGGGCCTTTTTCCAAATTATGGTAAAATAACAACTTATTTTTCAAACTAAAGTCTAGTTTGTACAGAATTTTTAAATTTCTAAAACGTGATTGTGAACCATGCTTTCACCGTTTATCTAACTCTCTCGCTGAAAATTTCTAAAATTGTAAAAGTATGATTACAAACCACGTTTTTAAATTTATTTTTTTTTCTTTTCATAAAATGTGATTTCAAAATACGCTTTTAAGCAAAATGTGAAAACGTGTTTTCAAAACAGGTTTTCAACAAAACAAACCAAACCCAACACTCTCTTCTCTCTCTCTCTCTCTGACACACTCACACACTCACGTCCATATACAAACCACGTGTTTTCAATAACTATTTTTTTTAATTATTTTTTTTTTCAAATAAAATTAATTGTAAAAAAAATTATATTAGTAAAATTTTTAAATTTTTGTTTAAAAACCAACGTAAATTCATTTTTTGAATTTATGATTTTTCTTCAAATTTACAAATTGAGACAACCATTTATAAATAAAAAAAATTGTCAAACAAGTTTTTATAATAGTTTTTAAAATTTTTGTAAATATAAATTAAAAATTGAAAACTAAATGGTTACCAAACATGCCTTAGATGGTAAAAATGTCGTAAAATAAACAAATAATTAAATAAGTTACCAACGTAAGAAATGACTTATCAAAAGATTTTTAGGCTATGTAAAGTTTGATTTTTAGAAATTTTTTTTTAAAAGAAATGACTTATCAAAATTTTTTTTTTCGAGTGGTTAGAAATAATTTTTTACAAATTAAATTGAAGTGTAACCTGCCTGATAGTTAAAATGATAATTATTTTTTACCCTTAAATGATAATTATTTTTTATTTCTTAACCAAATTAATTTTTAATTTAAAAAAAAAATTAAAAATCAAACCATACATAGCCTAAAAATCTTTTGATAAATAATTTCTTACGTTGGTAACTTATTTAATTATTTGTTAATTTTACGACATTTTTATCATCTGAGACATGTTTGCTAACCATTTCGTTTGCAGTTTTCAATTTATATTTACAAAAATTTAAAAAACTATCATAAAAACTTGTTTGATAATTTTTTTGTTTTATAAATAGTTGTCTCAATTTGTAAATTTGAAGAAAAAACGTAAATTTAAAAAATGAGTTTACGATAGATTTTAAACAAAAATTTAAAAATTTTACTCACAAATTTTTTTTCAATTAATTTTATTTGAAAAAAAATTAATTGAAAACAAAAAATTAATTAAAAAAAAAATTATTGAAAACACGTGGTTTGTATATGGGCGTGAGAGAGAGAGAGAGAAAGAAGAGAGTGCTAGGTTTGGTTTGTGTTTGTTGAAAACTAGTTATGGAAACATGTTTTCACATTTTGTTTAAAAGTGTTTTGAAACTACGTTTTATGACCAAAAAAAAAATTTAAAAGCGTGGTTTGTGACTACGCTTGTACGATTTTAAAATTTTTAGCGGGAGGGTTAGGTTCACAATCACATTTTAGCCTAGTTTGGGAATTCCGTCCAAACTAGGCCTAATTTGAAAAATAAGTTACTATTTTACCTTAATTTGAGAAAAGGCCCCCATCAGACCAACACCTAGGATGGTCACGAGTTGGGTTTGATGTAGGTTTGTAATAGTTGGGAGTAGAGCAAATCAAGTGGTGGTGGAATGAGAGATATGTTAAATTTGTAAGTTTGACGAATAAAAATATTAATAAAATTATACATAATGTAGTATATTATGATAATAATTTATATTTAATGAGAATTATAAAATATAAGATAGATAATAATTTATATTTAATGAGAATTATAAAATATAAGATATAAAAATAATAGATCTGTAAAAGTTAATATTAAGTATAATATTTTAGTGTCTTAATTTTATTACAGTGAAAAAAATTTATATTATATATTATATATATAAAAATATTGGCAAAGTTGGGTAGGACGGGGTGGTGAAAGCAAAATCTGTTCCGGCCCCACTTTCTGAATAAGGGAAAACCCAAGCGGAAAATGCAGGAGCAAGGATGAGAGAAAATGGCCATCTCTAATAGCTAGGGATGTAATCGGTTCATATGGTCGGTATTTAGATAAAAAAATTACACTGAACCGATAATGTCGGTTTTATTATTTCGAACATCGATATAGACCACTTCTCCCATCAAACCGTACCGAACCGAACCGATTCAAACGGTTCGGTTTGGTGTGGTTTAATCGGTTTAGGATTTTTCAAATTTGAGACACTTTTAAATATAATCATTAATCTATATAAAAATATTAAATTAATTATTTGTCTACCATTTCAAACATGTGGCGGTGTTTGGCAACAATTTTTTTGGGATTTTTTTTGATTTTTTTTCACTAAAAGACAATTTTTTTGTAAAACCAAAAAAAAATAAATCCAAACAAAATATCACATCAAATCCCATAATCATTTCACTTTTTTTCTCACAAACATCACATCTAATCACAAAAAAACTCAATTATCTTTCCAATTACAAATTTTTTTTTTCTCTAATAATATCCTACAACTAAAAAAATCTACAAAAAAACTCACTTTCCAGACACTCACATTATATAGTTTGTGTGGAATTTACAATAGCAGGTCAGTAGCACCCTTTGAATATATTATATAATGATTTGAGAAATGTAGAAACACAAATCGGTCATAGATTGGATATAACCCTCTCACATGAGATGAATCTTACACTTATATGAAGAATTGTTTCCAATTTTATGATTGATTTCTGTATTAAGTAGAAGAACTCTAAGCATTGGTTGCAAGTTCAGTTTCTTCAGATTTGAATTGTCACCACACATATACTGTTATGTTCAAGCTCTTGGTTCAGCCACTGATGTCAAACTGCTTGTTTACTGCTTGTTTACTGGGGGTAAATAAATACAATCAGCTTGCTTGATTTCATTTTTCAGAAAATACTTTTTAAAAAAATTTACATTTTTATTTTTTGCATATTTTTTTTGTTTTTATCAAATTTTTTTAATATTTTAAACAATTTTTTTACTTTTTAGACGCACGTAACATAAATACACTTAAAAAGTAAAAAAATTATAAAAAAAATCTTTTAAAAATTCACTAAATACCAAAATTATAAAAAAAAATACAAGAATTTAGTATATTTTTTGTATTTTTATGTATTTATTAATTTTTTAAAATATTTTTTTACAATTTTTTTACTTTTTAGATGCATTTAACTAAGATACATCTAAAAAATTAAAAAAAAATGTTTAAAATTTTAAAAATATTCACTAAAAACAAAAGAATATGTAAACTAAAAAATTCAATTTTTAAAAAACTTAATTAAAAAAACTCAAACCAAACACATTAAATGATATTATAATCATCATAGGTACTTTTATATCACATTTGATTTACTATATGAGTTGTCATTACTGGATTAGAAAA